GTCACGCACTAGAATGGAAAAGCAACAATGCTCGTCTGTTCTCAAAAGATGCGACTAACACAGCCGCCATTGATAGCTCTGGAAACGCCTATCTCTGTATCTCATCATTTTATGACTGCCCCGCCTACTTCATTAGTGCTATATACCATCTTGTTTCGCAACGGACAAGGATTTAAAGATGTACAACAGCACTGTGCGCCATGCACAACTAAAAAAGCAATATGATGTGTAGAAAATATTCTGAATGACTGGTGCAAGGAAAGAATGAAAGATTTGGAGAAGCTCCAACCAGGCCACTCTTCTTTATTGGAGAAATAATGTTTAAAATGTTTGCTGCAGCAACTGGGGAATCGATGGTTACAAACAAACCACTCACTTCGCGGCGTGACTGCTGCTACTAGACTATTTCAAGCTGGTGTTGATGAACAATTAATCATGAAAAGAACAGGTCACAGAAGCACGGATGGTGTACGAATTTATAAGCACATTTCAGATCAACAAAATGCTGGAAGATGTTTCCTCAATAATATTATTATTACAAACAAAAACAGCAGTAGCTAGTGACGATATACCAATTCACCTCATCCTCCAAAAGCACAAAACATATCTCTAGATGAAGACAGACACTTCAGCTTTAATAACTGCACAAACATACACATAACAATTCAAAAATAACATTACTATTATTGCTGTCATCATTTTTATTCCTAAAATTTCCCAAACTTTGGCAGAAGTATCTAAATAATTTCCCGGAGGTTTCTAAATATTTTCCCGGGGTATTATAAGTGATTTAGACACCTCATATAATGCAATCTGATTGGTCAATTCAAAACAAGCATGGTAGAAATTAACATAATAACACGCTAATCACTGAATCTGTATCATTAATAGGTACATTTAGATCTGATATTGCTCATAGAGTAATGACAGAATGTACTGGAATGATAAAGAATTGTGGGATTGATATTCACTTCTTAGTTGACAAGCTACTGGAATGTAATATTATCAATGCAAGAGAGAAAAGAGAAATAACTGATGGCTACACTAAACAAACTGCTGGTGAAAGAATGGATGAATTGCTCCACATCATTTCAAGCTCCATTAATATGGAAGGAGAAGTATTTGGTATATTCTTAGATATACTTAGAGAGGAAGGTACTAGAAGAACTATTAAACTAGCTGATAAACTATTAGAAAAATATAATAATAATAATTAGCTTATTATTATCATTATTGTTGTTGTTGTTGTTTGCTTATAGTTGATTAAAGCAATTGCTTTTAAAAAATTATTACAACAATATGGACAAAATAAAAGATTTTTAAAATGTAAAATATTCTCGAGTATCTCTTCATGGATGTACATGTACGGTTGTCATAGCAACAGCAACAGTCATTTTCCTCAGCAACGCTACTGATCTAATTCTTCTATAAAAAGTAGAAGGAGGAAGAGAGAGAGGATCAAGAGAGAAAGAATGGAATGACATCTGAGAAGTAACATGACTTACCCTCTTTAATGAAAAGGAGCATAATTAGTTTAATTACACATTAAACAATGTATGTATCTATGTATAAAACGGAAAATCCCCAACACCCACACAGTTCACACCACAAAATGGCCTCCTCTTCAACCCCACCTTCACCTCTTGATTCCAGTCCTAGAGAAGACCTGTGGGCTGAATGGCTGGAACCATTAACAAAATGGCAAACCTTTGGCCTGTACTTACCAGGAATAAAACAAAAGGACATTGATAAGATTGAAGAGGACAAGACTGGAGTGGAGAGTAGGAAGATGGGACTGTGGACTAAATGGACTGGGGTATATCCACCTGGTACATGGACTGATGTCATTAGTGCTCTTAAGAGACTGAAAGAGAATGCACTAGCAGCTGACATTGAAGAGAGACTGAGGAAAGGAAAAGTATTTGAAATTAAAAGTGAGACATTAAAGGGAGGGAGGATTATTGGAGCAACTTAAATGCAATTTTAACTCTAAATGACATGTATAATGTACCGTATATGCCATATATTTCGTGGTAATTAAATTTTGCATTTTGGAAAAATTTGTAAAATAAAAATCCGCAAAATAATGTGCTGATTGTATAGTAGGTGCGGTAATTACATTAAAATCATGAAATTTTTATTCGCGAATACAAAAATGCAGCCAAATTGCAAAATTTTATACCCGTGAAATATACGGCATATACAGTATTAGGAAATGTAATAAAAATTGAAAATTCTCACATTTTCAATCTTAGCAAAATTTGGCCTAATTTTGAGTAACTTTAAAAATTCATTAAAAAATCCAATTTTGATCGAAATCAGCTTAAACTTTTTATGCGATATAAGAACATGTATATGTATCAGAAAAAATTATAAAAATGGAGAACTTCTTTTCAATTTTGGCGAAATTTGGGCGTGACCCTGTACTATAGTACAGGGACTTTGGCCCAATTTTTGAGTAAATTTAAAAATTTGTAAAAAATCCAATTTTGATTGGAATCAGCTCAAACTTTTTATGCAACATAAGTACATGTATATGCATCAGGAAATGTAATAAAAATGAAAAATTTTCTCCTTTTCAATTTTGGCGAAATTTGGGCATGACCCTGTACAGATTTTCGCCTAA